GTGACGGCAGGAACAAAACCCCCCAGCTGCCAGTACACCACGTTCTTAATAAGGACAAAGAGTTGCTTCCCTTTGCGTCTAAGATGCTGTCCCCATGAAATCAAGAGTGATAATAAAACCAATAAATTTTTAAGTTATACAGTTGAGTTGCAATTAGAAAAACATAGTAGGTAAACACCCGGTCTCATCTTCATATACCTTTGAATTAGGACTGTGCTCAAAAAAAAAGAAGATAGGTTTAAAAGAGTATGTGTAGGCACGCTGCTTTCTCCCAACACTAACATTTGGGTCAACTCATGGTGCCAGGCAGCCGATAATGAAGCGCTTATGAGGCACAGACCCCAACTGCTCTGTAGATATTTGCCCAGGTGATGTAGGCCAGCACAAGTTTAAGGGTGTAAAAGGACAATTCACATGTTTTTGAGGAAGACCAGATCACTTCAGAACACTGGATTTCTGATACAGTCCATAAGGATTTAAGTTTCTGTTTCAGGTTGCTTTTTTAACCATGTTCTTTGTTTGATCAACATATTTCCAAGTCTGTTTTGGAAGCAAATATTCTGAAACGGATTAAGGGACCCTCAACACCCTGATTTTATGGCAGTGCTATACCAGGGATGTAACTCCTTATAGTGCAAGCACAAACGAGTCATTAAACTTACTTTTCCAAAGAAGCCTTTGAAGAACTTCCTTTCCTGGAGGAACAGGGGGGACAAGTCGAGCGCTATTACTGTAGGTAGCTAAAATGTCCCAGGGTTTCAAACCAACAAGCACACACAAGATAGGGTTTGGAGGGAAAGGAAGGGGTTTTTAGAGTTATCCATGAGAAGGTGCGACAGGCAATTGTGAAAATAATCCCATGAAAATGCAGATCAAAGGGCACGCACACAATTCTAACAAGCTACTGCCCTGGAGTTGGTGGAAAGAAGAGAACCTCGGCCCCAATTTCATGCAAAGTGGTTACTTTATTTTCACTTTCCCTTGTTTAGTCCCTTTTAGTTAGGTTATAAACCAAACTTGGCAGCAGACATGGTGGTTAAACAATTAAAATATTGTACGAGGTCTTGTGAAATGCAAAGTTCTGACTTCAGAATTACAGCCAAGTTTGCTCTGTATTGATCACTC